AGATGAATCTGCATAGAACCACAAGCCTAGACTTGAACTACCCTTCAAGTATATGAGAACACATTGAAGCCCTTTCAAATGAGAGGAGGTGGGATTGGCCTGAAATTGGCACAGTTTTTTACAAAAAATGTGATGTCTAGTATGTTCGAAGTCAAGTATTTTAGTTGAAGAAGTCAATGCATGAAGTCTGAACCATTTTCAAGTGGAACTTCATATGATGCAAAGAGTACATTCTTCGTACTTGGTGGAGCCTTTACATGCTTTCGTTCTAAGAGATAAGTATTGGCCAACAATTCCACTTAAAACTTTCTCTAGTTTAGTGAGATACCCTCATTGGCAGAACCATGTTAGAAGTTGCAAGTTAATGGACCCCACTTGTAAACTGAGTATTCATTAAAATTAGCAGATTTTTAAGGGGGATTTAAAAAAATTTGAACCAAGAACCCATTGAAAGATAACATTTTTACCATTGTGGTAGACATTACATTTGACAGTCACTCAAAAGGGTGGTTTGAGTAACCTCACTTTTAACTTAAGCATGTTTCACCACTTTGGTATCTAACTCAATAATAATTTACTTTAGTAGAAAATAATTGTTTACCCAATCTTGTGCCTCTTTCCGAAACCATGATGCTTTCTAATCTTCCTTCTCTAGTTTCTTTCCTTGAAAATAAGATTTCTGGAACTTATCTAAACAATGTCTAAACAAAATCTATAGATCTTGGGCACTCATCCTTCCAAATTTATGACTCTATATACCAATTATATCTCATGAAAGTGTTTCTCTAATGCATGTGAAGGTTAAAAATAATCTTGTAGTTTATTTTTCTTTTCGTTCTCTCTCTAAATGCATTAAACAATTGGCATCCCTAATACTAGTGTACATAGTTTGCAATATAAATTATTAGTTGCTAGATAATAGAAGAAACACAATATGAATGAACAATCAATGACCCTTTTTGCATATTTGTGGTTGTTGTGGCCTGAAGATACTAGAAATTTGTATATGGCTAGGCTTGTCAACTTGATGCTACTAACAACTGGACATCTTTGAACTATGAAAGTGAGTATCCTTAGCTTTATACATTTGGTAAAATTCCTCTTTGTTTGCGCAAGAGTGTAGGTAAGTTTCCTTTATTTACCAATCTTTAATCATCTTTGTACGATTTTTGGATATGATGGTGATTGTTCCTTATTTCTAGGCAAAATTGCAAAAGAAACACACTATGCAACTACATTATAGGTGGTGCGTACAAATTTTAAAGTAAGGTGAGAAAGTGCTAGAGTGGTATATTATAGTCATTTTCAAGGTGATGCGTTTACCATGATTTTGTGATTTATTTGTTGGAATGTTTTGTGTGTTCCAAGAGAATCTCAACTAAAGTTAATGAAGGGAGAAATGGATCGTATAAGGTTAAATGATGGCCTCTCATGATAAGATTGTTGTAGACTTTCATTTTTTTTATCAATCTTAGTGTTTTATTATTTCTTGTATTAGAAGTTAGATATATTATTTGTCGTCATTATGGTTATTATGGAAATAAATTATTGTATTATGTATAAAATCGACCTTTAGGAATTAAAATAAATATATGATGCCTCAGTTTAGATTGTGAGTTTTTAAAGGCAAGAATGAATTTATAAGTATTTTTCAGCATGACAAACAAAATAGCCGAGAGAGTGCTACAAGCTACACACATGTAAGAAATGTATGTTTGCACAGGTCCAAGTGAAGCTCAAGGATCATCCTCTCGAGAGGAACCTTGAAGTATCGTCAAGCATGATGCTAACCACCTGTTTACACAATCCTCCACCTTTTTATATCTGACTCATAATAAGTTAGATGATTCTTTTCATTCGATATATAACGTCAATCTACTTGGGGCCAAATTTCTTCAGATGATAAGATGAACTCTCCATCGGTCTTCTGAAACAAGAAATAATAAAACCACTTAATACTAAGAAAATAAAACTTAATGAAAAGATTAACATCCTCCAAAAGGGATTATATCATTATTATTGAGTAACCACACAAAACAAATATTTTCAACCTATAGAAGAAAAAACTCATTTGGTCTAAAAGGAAAAAAAATCAACCCAAAAAATTTGTTTCCATGAATATTAAGAAGTTCAATCCTCGGCTCGTACTCTACATTAATAAAAAGATAACTTCATCTCAGACTCATAAGATTAATGTATTGAATCACTTTGTAAATTCTCCCCCCCCCCCCCCCCCCCCACACCATCATCCACAATAGTGCTTGTAAGAAATTTATGTCCCATGTGGCCCACAACATGTCGATATTGAGGCATGCACAAAATTGGAAGAGCAATGTCTTTCATAACTTGTAAATCTTTCCATTCATATACAAAATATAATTTGTCTTTCCCCAAATACACCATCATGCACAAGAAGGCGACGAATGGTTCAAGCAACGTGAGAAAGTTAGTGACGTCAAATCAGCTGAGGGAAGATGATGGATAAGATTGACTTTCATAATACCTATAATAGTAAGATAAAAATACCTAACTTCTAAAATAACATATAAGAAAAACACTTGAGACTAAAAGAATAGAACTTGTGATAAACTTACTATCCCAAAAATGATCAATCTCTATTGAGTAACCATACAAAATAATGATCAATCTCTTTGCCTAAAAGAGCCAATTAATAGCTTATTGAACTATCTGAAGGTGTTGTTATGGGGACACTTTTCCTTTTTTTCAATTGATTAGGTGGTTGTTGGTTCCAGATTCGGCACAAGTTTCATATAGCAAATGCGTGGAGTATTGTAGTAATTTTCGAGCTTTAAATTCTTGGTTTATGCTATAGATTTCTAGATACTATGCAGATTTTATTAAGTTGTTTCACATAATTACATTTATTAGGTCTTGCCAGCCGCTCCCCTCACTCCCCCTTTTCAATAAAGAAGCCTTGCTCCTTAAGGGGCCGGTCTCTGATAAGGAAGAAAAAGAAATCATATCCATTTTACGATAAATTCGGATCAATATCTCTTCTCCACTAACCACAAGGATATAGAGATTATTTATTTCATCTTTGGTGTCATTGTTGGAATGATTGACACATGCTTTAGTACTGATTCGTATGGAACTAGCATTGAAAAATCCTGGTGCTGCGACTATCACCGGAAAGTTGCATATATCAACATCAAAATCAACTGCAAATGCAACTAAGTAACGCCTATATGTTCTGGATCAACTGGCACAAACGCTGAAATGTATTCCGCCTCAAACAATCAAATATACTGCTGCAAAAATATTTCACTACTTTTTTTATTATTTCTCTCACATGTCACTACGAGTAGGTAGTGAAACTTGAGGAAAGAATTTGGGAGAAGATTTACCAGAAGTATAAGTTTCTAGAACGCCATCTTTGGTGTCATTGTTGGCTTTAGACCTGCAACTTGTCTTTTCTTTGGACTTTGTTTTCGTTCTCTTTGCAGACCATCACTGCAAATTTTTGCACCTAGTTATTGTTTTTTTTAATGTCTCACGAAACGTTTGGCATTTAACTATGAGGCAAATAGTGAAACAGAAATCAAATTCTCCACTCTTGTTTTCACTTTCTCAATAATTAAAATCCTCAGAAAATGGTTGAGGTCTACTCTACTTTGATCCTACTTTTGATGTTTTTGTACTACTTGTATAACATAGATCTGGTCCAAGTAAAAACAATTGAAAAGTTTTTCATTGTCTTATTTCTTTTGCCGCAGTATTTGTCTTAGATTTGTCACTTGGTCAAACATCAGCCTTCACCCTTTCACCAACTGAAGTCTATGAATTTGATGTACTCTAAAGAATTTCTCAGCACACCTTGCCAGGTGATCTGTTACTTTCTTAAAGACTCTTCTAACAAGAAGATAAGCTTGTTGTCGGCAAAAATGTATGTTGATAGTTGGATTTATTATTTAGATTACTCATAAGTTTTATTTGTTGGATTCGTTTAATAGTGTCGGCATCATGTGTCTTGGGGGGGGGGGGTGGTTGTAGTTGATTTGCTCTCTCGTTTAAAACGCATGTGCCAAACTAATCTATATTGTTGCTTATATCTTGTGGCTTATGGAACCGTTATTATAGGTCTCGAGATCAGTAGTACTTACAATGATAGCAGAGGATCCAAAATATTCATATCCAACAGTAAGTTGCAGCTATTCCAAGTCTTGTGGATACTTGCGTCATTAGGGAGTTGTTGATGCTATTTTGGTGGCAAATGTTGTATATCTCGCAGTTATTACTATGTTTTAGCTACCCTTAAAACATTTGTATCCAAATTCGAAGACAGTGAGTTTATTTCCCTTTATTTCCAGAAATAAAGGCTCTCACGCTTTTTGTCATCACTAATCTATCGCTCTTAGAAATCTTGCTCTGCAGCCTAATGTGAAAGCATATATAGTTGTTGTTTTCCTTGAATATAAATATGGTAAGTTCAAATTCGTGAAATAAAACATTTTCATTTTCCTAACATGATTAGATCTTAACCAAATAGTAATAATTATTAGATCTTTAAAAAAACAAGAGTCACATTAGTGATTATTAAAAAGTTATATTTGTTGTTAATGGATGACTTAGAATCACACTAATGAGTATTAAAAATTTATTTCTTCAATCCTTTTTAATTGTAGAGAATTGTAACCCTCCCCATTTTTTCTCTCTTTTAATTCTAAATAAGATCAATTGAGGACTAACCGCTTCCTACCTTTCTCACGAATCCCTACTATCTTCCCTTCATGTATCTTTATCTCTCTATTTTTCACAAAAAGAAAAAGAACAAGTCATATCAATTTGAGTTTTCTTTCCTTTTCTTTGTTTATTAATTTCTTTCTCTTCTTTCTTTTCTTCCCCTCCCCCCCCCCCCCCCCCCTCCTCTACGAAAATGCAAAGAAAAGAAAGAACAAAAGTCACATAAATTTCGGTAGTTTTTGTATTTTATATGTAATTTTGTTTTACACTCCGTATTCTTTCCCCTAATTATTCACAGCCACTCATTCATCCATCTCTCTTTCTCTGTTGCTGGAAGATGAAGAACTAGGATAAGAAGAGGGGGGAGAATGAAAACACTTCTAGATCCATTGTGCTATTCTCCTTATGAGCTATCATCTCCAAAATCAACTCCCAGTCTGTCTCTTTCTATAGTTGCAATCTCTCAAACGACCTATCTTCTACTCCTCTAACTTGAATGGATTTGTCGATTGCACAATCACGCGAGTGACGACCTTGCCTTGGGGATGACTGTCGTTCTCATGTTGATTGGATAGATGGTGAGTTCCTTGTGACACAATTGTTTTTGTGTAATTTTTCAGTATATGTTATTTTAGTGCTTGCCTTCTCTAGTGGTGGTTTTATTTTATTCTTCAATCTCTCTTCGTGTTTGTTGCCTGACATTTTATTGTATGTTCCTTCTTTCTCTAGAATTACATCCAACCAAGGGCATTTTTGTAATTTCCAACGTGACAACAAATGACTTTTATTCCTCCCATCTCTCAATACATTTTTTCCAGACTTTTCTCTCTTGCATGACGATGATTAGAAACTGCCATGAAGAAACTGAGGATGCTTCACAGCTAAGCTCCTCTCTATGTACTTATCTTCTTTTTGGTTCCAGCTGAATTCCAATCTCACTCGTTTTCACTCTTTTGGTCTGACCGACAATTCGATAAATAAATAAAAAGTCGGAAGAGGATGAAGATAAAACAAGATAAACATATTGAATAGAAGGAAGAAAGAAGGCGTGTGAAGGAGAGGAAGGACCCCCAACAACAATCAGAACCGCCTCCGCCTGGACGGAGATGATAATGATGAAAGGGAGGATGGCATTCAATGTCTTCGTCTCAACTCAAAGGAAAGCTTGATCGACGAACACTCATCCAAATGGAAATGACGAGCCTAGCGACGTATAGGAACAAACAAAACGGGGAGGAAGGAGATGTGGGTCGATCCGCCATATAAGAGAAAGAGGAGAAGATGGCGAAGGGGACCGATTAGCGGGAGGTGAGTCACCATGCAGACAATGTTGAGCGGCGGCGCGGGGCGTGAGCAGCAGCCAACAGGGCTGGTGGAGAGGCTGGTGGTGACCAACCTAGGGCGGGGCGCGGGAGATGGTATGATCCTAAATTGCTCAATCTATGGATCATGATTGATTGATCAAAAAGGCAATCCAATTCCCTAGAAGAACACTAATAAGTCTTTTTGCAGTTTCAGGTAGCCAACTTTGGACGAGTGAAACATGTTATTGGCTCGATGAAAATGGACGTTTGAGAGCATGTTTTGAAGCTGGAGTTACCCTCTACCTGTTGACATGCCTTGGAGCTCGATTGAAAGTCCAAAAGGTGGGTTTTCAGGCTGTGCAAAAGTGGAAGTGAAAACCGGAGAACTGCCCAAAATCGGCTAAGGCATGAAACCGTTTCGGCAGAACAACTTTGGAGCTCCATTCTGGACAATTAGTGGGGAATCGAGTTGCAAGGTTTGTTCCACATGAAAGATTGCATTTTCTACTGCAAGGACGAGGCATTGGATGATTGGTTTGATCTCTGGAAGGGTTCGAACGAGGGTGCCAAAGATTGTGTCGAGCCTGCTGTTTTTGACTTTGGAGGAAGGCTAATCCAAATCCTATTCGGATTAGGATTTGTAAGCTGTTTGATTCAATTACTTTTCGTGTTGGACTTGTTATCCTTTTTGAAATGTAACCTAGCTAGACTTCCTTTTCAAGTTGTTAGATGGATTTAGGTTCTAGTTAAGTCGAGTTAACCTTTGTAATAAAGAGATTAGGTTGAATTGAATTAAAAACCCTAATTGGTTCACAAGCTTGTTGGTTCGTGAGGTTGAGAGTTGTTTAGAGCGAGATCTAGGCAACTTGTGAGCTTGTATCGTTCAGCAAACCATCCTGAACGTGGCCAAGCATCGACCATACTCTTCGAGCCTCTTTCCCCTTCGTGAAAGTTGCACGAAAGTCACCATCCCAACACCAAATTCAACCCTGTTTTGGTTTGTTCTTAACACGAGAGATTCAATCCTTTCGGATTGATTCTAAGCTGGGCGACTCGGATCAAAACCAAACCCTAGGGTAGCATTAAGTGGTATTAGAGCCCAGGTTTTACACAGTGGACATGACGGAGAAGCATGTTGCTGGGGCAACGTGTTGGACAAGGTCGAAGGGTCTCGTTTCCAACAACCCTAAGGTTGTACACGAGAAAACAGAGCACGCCGACGAGTTGAATTCTGAGGTTTAAATCGATAATCGAGCAATCGCGGGACAACAAATTGACATACAGGAGCTGATGCGACAGTTTGACGAGAGATTCACTCCATTCCGGCAGGAAATCAATCAAAAGATCGACGCCATCGCTCGACCGGAAAACAAAGTCCATGGAAGGGGAGTTCGCGACGATGAACCTCTCTACAGAAATCTGGCGTTAATGGATCGAATTGCAGAGCTTGAAAGGTGTGTAGTTGTGGTCGAGCACGATCTTGATCGTCAGGCTCGGGATCGATGAGAGAAACTTGAGAAGAGCCACCAATTCCTCTGGGAATTAAGCTTTCGGTGCTGGCGTTTCAAGGGAACTTCAAACGCAACCTCTTACTTGGATTGGGAGCGCAAACTGATCTTGTTCTCTGAGTGTGGCTGATATACAGAGCGGTAGAAGGTTGCTTTAGAAACCTACGTGTTCAACGACTATGCTGCTCAGTGGTGGGAGCAAATTCGACTCCGGCGATAGAGGAATCTGCAGCCGGAGATCGCAACTTAGACAGAGCTCTGAGGATTGATGAGGGAGCGATTTATAGAGGAATCTGCAGCCGGAGATCGCAACTTGGATAGAGCTCTAAGGATTGATGAGGGAGCGATTTATTCCGGCATATTATCAACGTGAGCTCCATGAATCGCTGCAAGGACATCACCAAGGATCGAGGAGAGTGGAGGATTACTACCGAGATCTCGAATTGCTCTTGATGAGGGCCGACGTTCGTGAAGATAGGGAGTCAATAATTTCACAATTTTTGCACAGATTAAACCGTGAAATTTGGCAAGAATTCGAGCTAAGGGCCTTTGTAGACCTCGAAGAAGCAATCCACCTCGTTGTGAATATAGAAAAGCAGCATAAGATTTTTCAGGTCAACGGTTTTCCCCAGCGGTGAAAACAACGGCACATGCAAGTTCTGAGGCTAATTCGCCTCCGACAAGGCGTGAAAATACCAAATTGGCTCAGAGAAACACTAATCCAGCTCGTCCATAATTTTTAGGAGGGATTCAATGCTTCAAATGCCATGGACGAGGCATAAGGCCAATCAGTTTCCTAACTTGAAAACATTGGTGATCAAAGACAGAGCATATCTCACCAACAAAGAGCAAACTGGTTCTAGTGATGACGAGCCAGTAGATGAGGAAATAGAAGTGGAGGATGTCTTAGGAAAACGAATGAGAGTCAGTCGAAAATCCCTTACCCTTGAAGATTCACCAGACACGAGTCAAAGAGAAACCCTGTTCCATTGTCGGTGTTTCGTTCAGGGTAAGTTACTTTCGTTGATCATTGACGGAGGCAGCTGTGCCAACGTCGTCAGTCAGGACGTGGTAGACAAGCTTAGTTTGGTCACGACCAGGCACCCAGATCCTTATAATTTGCATTGGCTTAATGACTATGGTGCTATTCGTGTGACGAAGCAAGCAAAGGTACATTTTGAGCTGGGAGATTACCGCGACGAACTTGAGTTTGACGTTGCTCCGATGTAGGCAGCTCACATACTGCTGGGAAGACCTTGGCAGTTCGACCGAGGTGTTTGCCATTACGGAGGAACAAATCAGTGCACGAAGCGGCATCAGGTAAAGAAATTCTGGCTGAACCCCCTTTCACCTAAGGAGATCCGAGAGGTTAGATCCGCCATTGCTCTCATTACATCAATCATTTATTTTACTTGACTGAAATGAAACCATAAATGGTCATATAGAAAATACATTAACACGGACTTGTATGAATCTCAATTGAGTATATAACCCAAGAATTTACTAAAAGGATGGAATATTGTAACCTAGAATCATGTAATAAACGAAATTTATTAATTAAACCATTTTAACGATTAATACTATATATAAAAGTTTTTATTTTCAACCTTTTATAAAATTCTTAATTATAATCCCCCCGCGCTGAGTGTTGAATGCATTAGTCCACTTATCGTTTGTAAGATTTTTAAAAATGAAATATTTGAGTCAAATTCTGGATTTTGTGTTTGAAGAATTATGTGAGATTTTTTTATATTGGATTTGTGTTGGATTTTAAAAAGTACGTGTTTGCTTGTTGGATTTCATATTGGATTGTGTACTTGGGATTCATTACTTAAAGGTTGAATTTACAATTTTATCCTTAATTTGTTTTGGCATTTTATGGGTAAATTTGGTTTGTAATAAACATCCTCCTCCCTTTGTACCATTTGTTTTGGCACCCATTTTAAAGAGAAGATCACGACCCTTCAACATGCTTGTATTCAATTCAATGATTTTTCTTCGGAAGATTGTGTTCTTGAGATAGAGGAGTATTGTTCCTCGTGGAGAAAAGAACATCGTAAATGCTAACTTGAAGGCAAACGACTTAAATGTTGGAGAAGAGAGCGAAATGAGTAAGGTTGTTGCTTCACAATAAAAAAAAAAATTAACAAGACTTAACAATAGATAATAAGGACAACATAGGAATATTAAAAAGAGATGAGGTTAGTTTTGTCATTTACTCTCATAGATATCTAGCCTACTACAAAATCTCACCTAAATTGGTAAGATTTTATAATCCATGGACCCCACGGATTTTGGTCCCAAAATAATCCAACATGCATGGGTCCCGCACATGAGCGGACCTAAGAAGGGACAGGGTGTGTCGTCCGACACACCCTCGTCCGAAAATTTTGTGAATGACCTATATATTTTTTATACAATTTATTTAATTTGGGACTTGCGACACACACCAAATAATTGTGAGCGACACATCTTCATTGTACGAGAATGATTTTCTTATTATAAATTTATTTATCTTAATTAATAATAAACAATAATAAGTAAAATCAAATAAATATGTTTATTTTAAAGTAACCCACACCACAACCCAACAATGGAAAAAATATAAATAACCCCGTCCTTTGAAACTCACCGTTTCCACCCCTTAACTCTTCCTTTGTTGAAAATAAAAAAACTCATCTTTATCTCTTTTTAGTTTCTAATTACCGAGATCAATTGCCACATCCCCTTTTCTTTTATACTTTAGTTTACTTGCTCTTGAAGTTGGTGTTGACTTTACTTGTTGCAATTGCAAGGCGCGAATGAGCATTTTCAACTATGAAGATAAGCAAGAATGAACTTCGAAATCGGTTGAGTGACCAATTTATGAATGATTGTTTAGTTGTATATATAAAAAATAATTTGCTTCGCAACATAAGCGATGAATGTATTTTACAGACATTTCAGGACATAAAAAGTCGTCGTGGTTTATGAATTAATTTCTAGTAATTTCTATTGAATTTTATTAAAAAATTTAATTTAATTTAATTTTTTTAATTATTATTTTATTTCATCGGCGAGACACCTCTCCAGTAAGTCTGGGTCCGCCACTGGTCCTCCAACTCATAATCCAACACCACTTCAGTACCAAACATGGACTTTAAGCAGAATCCCATAGATGTGAAATTTTGGACCAAAATCCTTGATCAAAATTCCAAGAGCAAACGACCCCTAAGTCAGGATAAAGTTGGAGTTAAATTCTAGAAAATGATATAAAAAGAGAAACCATGAAAATGTATATAACATGCATGTGGGGTGAACTATAAAGGGACGGGATACGGTGACAACCCCCTTAGGGGTTGTCAGATTGACAACCAAGGGTATTTTGGGTATGAACAAAAGGAATATATTAATTACCTTTTTTGTATTAATCAGATTGGGAATTAAAAACCCATATTAAATACAATTTTTTTTGAAATTTAAATCCTATACATTAATATCTCTATCTCTATCTCTCTTCCTTTCTCCTGTGTTCACTCTGCTTCGATGGACAGACTTTTTCTCTAGCTAATTCTCTCCGGCAGACTCCCTCCGGCAACCTGAAAAAATGTACTAGTGCGTTAAAAAGTGTACCAATCTATTAGTCTATTGGTAATTAATATACCAGTGCTAGTGATACGCTACTAGTGCGTTAAAAAATGTACCAGTGCTAGTGGTACGCTACCAGTGCTAGTGGTACAGTACCATTACCACTTGTAGCGGTACCATTAGCAGTACCAGTACCACTGGTAGCGATACCATTGCCACTGGTAGCGGTACCATTGCCACTGGTAGCGTACCACTAGAGACTAGCACAAAAAAATCAGATCTGAAATATGAAAAATCACAGATCTGGAAAAAAAATAGGGATGGCGAAAGGGGGAGGCAGGGGAGAGGCGGTGACCTCGTGGCGACGGTGGTGGTGGGAGACAGAGGGCGGCGGAAGGGTTGCGACGACGATGGTGGTGGGAGGCCATCGCGGCGGTGGTGGGAGGAGGAGGCCGCGATGGATGCGGGGCGAGGGACGTGACAGTGCTGGGAGGCGGAGGGCATGACGACGGGAGGGCTGTAGCAGTGATGAGAGGCGGAGGGCGTGGTGGGTCGGCTGCGATGACGGTGGTGGCAGCCGATAGAGAGAGAGGGAAGAGATGGGAGGAAGAAGAAGAATAGGAAGAAGAAAGATGGCGTGAGAGAGAGAGAGGAAAGAGAGAGTGTAGGGTTTTAGATATTAATAGGGGTAATAATCTAGTGTGGTCAATTT